GAGAACGCTTATAAATGTCAAAGGCACAGAAACTCTAATAACAATCACTGCTGGCCATATAATGACGATTGTGGTGACTCTAAAAGAATAAATCGATTCGTTCATTTTGAATAGCTTATTACTGATGGTGGACAGCGGAATCAAGAGTACTCCTACGCGACATAGTTTCCTGTTGTTCTTTCGTCAAGTACCGTACGATAACGGCTGGTACCAGCTCAGGCCGTTATGATTATTACTAGTAAAATTGATTAGCACAAGAAGGTACGGACTGAGCCACGGCCATGTGAGTGCTAAATTCTACCGACAACAATCAACCCAATAGAAAACACCGATGCTAAGGCTAACGGCATCCAGGCTTAACTAAAACCGTAACAAAACATACGTGTTTCGACCGAATGCCAACAGGGTTCAATACGTCAACGATCTGATGACTGTGTCGCCCCTTCGTCCAAGCCACTCTATCGGTAGTTCATGAATCGACTGTTGGATGAATAATTTATAAAGTGAAATTGAGACTGTTATCGAATGCTGTTCCAGAAAAGCCCAAATCGAAAATCACACCATAACGTCACGTATAAAGTCACAAAGCGACAACAGCGAATGATCTATAGTGTTGCATCGCTGCAATGTTGTTAACTGTAGAAATAATGGGAAAATTCTAAAAAAAAAAAAATAGAAGAAGAAGAAGAAGAAAAAAAAAACAAAAAAACAGAGCTGTTGTTTTAGCGTCCCCCTATTGTCGTTGTCTGTTGACGACCAAGCAGTGATTAGCTCTTGGCAAAATTCTGAACAAAAGAAGCAATTGTTGCGACGGACGTACATACACGCTCGTTACTATTTACATAGATCGGGACATGCTACATAATTGAAGGCAGGCACAGTCAACTGTCCGTGCAGAGCGTGTTCCCTACATAGAGAAATGACGAAGTAGCTGGCGGCCAGGCGACGACACCTCATTAAAATGATGATGATGATGATGATTATTATGACCGTGACGCCGTTGTGTCAATTATGATATGAATAATAAAAAACAATGCATATGATGGTGACGATGTCAAATAATTGCTGTGTAATACTATTCTTGTACGTCGAAGCAACGGTGTTGAGACGACAGATTGATAACAACAACAATGATGATGACCTAGAAAGAGATATGTGGGAATGCTAATAATAATACTTGATGAAAAATAGAAGCTGAGTTTGAATTCTGACTTGTACGCTCTCGATGGCCAGAGGGAAGCATGTCTACGTATAGCCCTCATCCATATCGCGAGACAAAAACCAAAAATAAGACAGAAATGGTAGCCGAAGGCCATCACCAGACCAGATCTGGTCGAGGAAAATGTAAGAACCCTCAAAGGTCTAAACGAACGAACGCACGAAAATAACACGCGACTTGAAACGTGATGATAATGCTGATAATAACACTACGCATTCCGAGGTAGTAACGACGACGACGACAAGAGAAACATTCAAATAAACGTTTAGCAAACGCAAAAAAAATTCAAAAATGCGAGATACAGTTACATTTTCTTCAGTAGCTGTTATAAATATTATTAAAAAAATTAAGTAAAATAATGCATGATAGTAATGATAAATATTTCATTCATCCCGTTGTTCACCACATATACATTCTCCCCTACGACAACATCAACTACATAAGAATAGTATTAATACTAATACAACTAAACTGTTGGCAATTACAACAGCAGCGAATACGGAATAGAAACAGGAAGAAATAACGCTTATGCATGGCATTGAAAAGCGCGCGCGCCAGAGAGAGAAAGAGAGAAAAAAGAGAGAGAGAGGATATGAATTTGATAATAATAATAATAACAACAATGATGATGATGATTATTATTATAATGTTGGAGATACTGATATTATTATTATTACTATTAATTATGGTATTGATATGGTGAAATATAATGATCAATGCTGATAGACGAGAGAGTAAATGAGAAACGTGGTGATACTGGCCGATTAACGAAGATACGATGAGAAACGGCCAGCGTTATTCGCGTTCGACACAGGCTGAGATCAATGGACACCCGACCGACTGGAACACAAACCGCAACCACAAATAAGTAAACATCGTTATTCGTAAACATCGCGAGAAAGAGAAGCAAGAGAGAGAGAGAGAGAAAGAGCTGAACGACAATAACCACAAATAGACAAACATTGCTGAACGCGACAAACGGACTGAATAATGATGCCCCCAAGGAACTTAACGCTACGTATATATATATATATATATATATATATATATATATATATATATATATATATATATATTATTAATTGACGACGATGATGATGATGAAATATTTTATTCTTTTGGTCAAATTTTACCCCACAAAAAAGTTTCTGTGTGCTTCAAAATAAAATATACTTTTCCAGCATTGCAAAAAGCAAAAACTGCGGTACTTTCTTTTGAGGATAAATAACAGTGATTTAAGGTAGCATTGGGTAACTGGTAACTTTAACGTTCACCACCTGTTGAAAGTTGAGCCACAGTGAAGAACGACACAATAAAATATTATAACATGTAAGCGAGTGGTGTGAATCCGTCATAAATACGTGCGGTGGCGAAGTGTTTTGAAGATTCGTACTAAACGGAACAAGTTCATCGAAACTTTCTCTGATTGGACTTTTTCTTCGAATGACAAACAACTGCCGATCAAAACAGAATCTTTTGTCTAGATTGCTCAGTGGCGATACTGACACTAGTTTGGCGAATGGAAGTAAAGTATAGTATATCTTGATTGATTCGAAACGATGGATTATCTTTGAATCAGTTCTAACGATTACAGACATCGTCATGATTCTTAAGATCGCATAGGTTTGTGTATGTGAAAGATTACTTTTACCACTCTATTTACTGAGTGATCAGAAGGAGACGATAACGCTACGTGTACTAAAACTCAAAAAGGGCATTATGGACCTAATTTCATGTTAGGCACTCTATCTAGGAATCTGCAAAGTATCAAAAAAACGCGTAAAGATATTCTTGAATTAGCACATTACCGCAATTAGGTTGACGACACTACTTTCAATGATAGACTTACGTATAAGGCTCTATCTATGAAATTAGTTTTTTCTCAATGGAAACCGATCTGCACTCATGATGTCCATTATGATCGTCAAACTATATCATCTATAATACCACTCGTTGTTTTCAAAATAATTAAAAACATTTCTAAGCGTTTGGCCCAGCATGAAAAACTACATTAACGTCTCAACAGCTGCACACCCCAGATGATCATAGCTGTACTGTTGCGCCTCTCTTGCCAGTTCTTTTTGAGGGTATATTCTATTGTATGGTAATCTTCCTACATATCTAAAGACTTCAAATTGATTTTTGAAGAGCCTGTTTCTGAAAAATTAAGTACTCAACAAAGGCTAACCTAACCTAACTTAACAGCTGACCTAACAGCTAACCTAACCTAACCGCTAACCTAACCTAACCTAACCTAACAGCTAAGCTAACCTAACCTAACCTAACAGCTAAGCTAACCTAACCTAACCTAAGCTAACCTAACCTAACCTAACAGCTAACTAACCTAACCTAACCTAACCTAACCTAACCTAACCTAACACTAACCTAACCTAACACTAACCTAACCTAACCTTAACCTAACACTAACCTAACCTAACCTAACAGCTAACCTAACCTAACAGCTAACCTAGCCTAACCTAACCTAACCTAACAGCTAACCTAACCTAACCTAGCTTAAGCTAACCTAACCTAACAGCTAACCTAACCTAACCTAACACCTAACCTAACCTAAACAACCCAACAAAGTACCCAACAAAAGCTAAAAGGACAACAACGCAATGTAAGAGTTTGAAGAGCCACTACTTAATAGACGACTGCCTACTATATATCAAGTGAGTTCAGAGCTTGAAGAATGCGACCGATTCCCGTTCGAACGATAATAATGTGAGCTTTGATTGAAACTTGATTAACAATATAAAACGACCACTTGCCAAAAGCGGGAAAGTCGCAGGATCTTATTTACTTACTTACACATTTAGATTTGTGGAGTATGCTAATCGCTTACTGGTCAAGGAAAGTATTTTTCAAAGTTTTTTAAAACTAGCCTGATATTTTAAGTAGTGATAATTTGCAGAAAATTTATTGACTCGTACTGGCTCGTAGACTACCGAATAATATGCCTCCAGATGTTGATCACTGAAATAATTTGGTTGAGCTCAGTAAGTTACCGTGCAAATTTCCATACGCATGTTTGGCAATAGAACAGTATATTTCAGTCGTCCCGAATATAAAACAGGTCTGATCGCTGCTGGCTGAATTTTATCAAAAACTCCTAAATGTGTAGATATCTAGTCTGCTTTTTTTTATTCAGGAGTAAATAAAATAAATATTATAGAAAGCAGACAATGTATTTTTCGATGCGTTCCCTGATTTGTGAGAGAATAAATTAATTGTATCTTGTAATTTGATAAATTTTGCGTAGTCAGAATTTCGATGGCAAGTAGAAATTATAAACTAAAGTTCATGCCGTTAGAGGCACCAGATCACAGATGAACTGGTCGAAAAGGCACTTCATGTAACATCAGAACCGGTGTTTATTATCATGAGCACTAAAAAATATGACGAAAGTTATAGTCGCTTGCATCTCTGTTTAGAAAAACACGATCTAAATCGCGTTTACCAATCACGGTCGCACTAATTTAATACGTTATAGTAAAAAGTATCTTAAGTTTGAATTCCTAAACGTATATATATACGTTAAGTGCTTTGTTGTAAAAAAAAAATGTGTGTAGAAAATTACGAAGCCAACTCGCTTTGACAGATAAAAGAAGAGCGTCTCGAAATTTCCTTGCGCCCGATAAATACAAACAATGAAAAGAACTCAACTGAATACAATACAAAAATCGAAGAGAGATAAAACAGTAGGCGTTTGTATGGTTCTAGCTCTCTTTCTGGTGCGCTTTATGTAATAAACACAAAGGCATTTTTACAACATCATTTTGTTTTATTATTTGTTTTTTTTTTCTTTTTTTTTTTTAATATTCTCTTCTTTCCTTCTCGCGGTCAATATCTGATCTAGTACGTTTATTTGATTCATCTTCTTGATAAGAAATCTATCCACTTTACTGCGCTGTACAGGCAACTATATCAGTTTAATTAAGCCAGCGTCCTTTGCCTCAATCGTCCATCTGTTTCGTTCCTCTCGCACTTTTGACATATGCTTAGTCGTTACCACCTAATTACATTACAAGCTCCTTTTGCTTCCATGCATCTCCACGTCAATTTTATTACCACCAATTTCGAATTGTCGTCCTTCAGTTTCGTTTTACCTAACCTTTTCCTACCCCACTACTCGTTGTTTGTCGTCCTATTTTAATCCAACTTATAGCCACATTCACTTTATCTACGATCGCATCTTATTTACCTTCCGGCATTTAAAATTTTTACCTATCGTACTATAACCCATTCTGCGATCTTTATGGGTCCCTATGCTCTTCTGTACCATTTCCCGCACTTAGAGGCGATCGTTAATAGCCTATGAAGTGCTAAATCAACATTTTTTCCGCGTATCGCGCAGCGTACCAGAGCATTGTCATCATGTTTATCGCAGCTGACGTCATCAATATATTCAGACTCAGAGCTAAATTTGAAAAATAGCGTAAGACACTTCGAGGAACAAAATCGGTGGTATTCCTTCGGCCTGAATGGTGGCTGCTTCTTTTGGGCAACTTATCGTTATGAAGTCTTGCTCGTTCGATACGGATTGTTTTTTTATTTGTCTATCTCGCAAATTTAGCCTGAATTAACTCATCCAATGACAACAATAATTATAGTTGTCGAGTGGCCTTTGATGGAAAAGTTATTTTGACTGATACCATGGCCTAAATGGCCGTACCGTACAGATTCCCATATTAGCTTGTGTTCCAACTGTCCTTATCAAGCATCCTTCTAGTTGGTCAAGCAACTTGTTGTTGTTGTTGTTGTTGTAGTTGTTGTTGTTGTTGTTGTTGTTGTTGTTGTTGTTGTTGTTGTTGTTGTCGTTGTTGTTGTTGTTGTTGTTGTTGTTGTTAATGGTTTTTTTGCCGTTGAAAAAGTCTGTTCACAGGCGAAATTGAGCGGGCGGTGATTTCTTTTCGCTGCTTGTTTCGTCGTCTTTCTTTTCGTTGACCGATTTAACGGGAAGCAAATCACGGGCCGCTTAATTTCAGGCACTGTTGTGGTCTCTTTATAAATATACGTATCCGCTGCATATCCAGTTGGCGGATTATTTATAAAGAGGGGAGGGGTGTTTGGTTTGGGGGTAGACGTTTCATCTTTCCTTAAAGCCACTATTCCTTCTCAGAATGAGTGTCGGTGAGATGAAACACCTGCCAACAATCATATATTATACATACATAGGTAGGATATCATAGTCACCACGCTAGATTAGGTCACATCTCATCGCGCATAGGCCGCTCCGTCTGTAATAAGTACACAGTCAGCAAGTTGCTTTTTATTTATCTCTACCTGCCTTAATGCCGCTTGTGACCGTGCGGAGAACTTTTATATAATGCTTGACTGGTTTGTATAATTATTGGAAGTTTTTCTCCATAACTTGTTTTGCCATTTCTGATTACAGTAATAATAGCTGTTTTTGTTGTTGTCGTCATAATGGAAGTAATGGCAAATCATGTTCTTTCTTTGTGCTGTGTACCGACAAATGATTGGGGTAACTCTCCGTCGACAATAGCGTGTATCACTTTTTGCTCGATATATCTATAATAATAAGCTTTTTAATTTTGTCTCGCATCAAGCTCGCCTTCTAAACAGTGTTCATCGATGAACCGAAGGGGACGCAGAAAGGATTCTCTTTGGAAACAAGGGTAAAATTCGTACACTATAAATACATTTGGAATAGAAGTACAGCTTCGCATCGCATCGCTCGTGCATGATATATTTATAACAGAAAAAGTTGTTTTTGTTTCTAGTCGTCGTTTGATTATCGGTTACGTTATAATTACTGTTATTATAATTATCGATAACAGTCCCTTCGACTGCAATCTCAAATTCGGAAGAGCGAATGTACGCAAATATGCGTATCTAAATATTGTTTATTGTTTTGGATAAGCTTAATTATCTCTATTCATTAAAATTCGGTATTCAACTCCCTAGCAACGATAGAAGCTGTAACGAAAACAAATCTAAAAAAAGAGATATAGTTCACAAAACGAAGCTCCACCGTAACCTCGATTATACACCGCCATAACTTTCTCAATTAAAACTATAATTAAAATAGAACCTAATAAAAGTAATTCACGTTAGCAGAACGATCTGTTCCTCTAAAATCGTGCTATTTGACTCATTATTGTTTTTACTTCCTCTTTCACATTTACATGCCATATCCACTGGCCTCGATCAGGCCTTTTGGTATGGCTTTATTATAATTAATATTAGGGTTGTCATTATTTCAAAATTTATCATCATAGTCATCACCATCATTATCATAATCATCGTGTCGTAAGAACTTCGTTTTTCTTTCTTTCTGTTTCTTTGGCGCGTGCCCAATTCGACCTCCTTACTCTCGCTCTAATTTACAGTTCGCCTAATGCGCGTATTTTTTTGTTGGTATCATCACTATTCTTCATATAATTAGCACTATTGATAGGGCTATTTTATTTGTCTTCTATATCATGATAAATTTGGCTTAGTCTTCACTTTCCCAGCTTGACCCGTGCGGCAGTCATTCTGTATTTATATTTAGATATATAATATTTATTTTTGTATATATCATCATCATCATCATCATCGTTCTGCTTTGCTGAGCACATCATACGACTTGGTCACTGACGCACCCAATAGATCATCAGTATTGGTTATCATTGCACTTCTACACTTCAGCCGAGTTGTCGGTGCGGATGTTGCCATTTGTTCTGACCTCGCGTTAATTCTGTCAGTGCTTTTTTCGTCATTGAATTGTATATAGTGACGTTTCAGTACTGATCAGCCACTTGTCCGCTTAAAGCAGCCACTGTTCGAATCAATCCCGCCACCAATATCTAGGAAGCGTGACGCGTCTGATATTAAAGGCGACTGCTTCGTTTGAAATATGGTCGACTTCAAGCATTAAATCGGTATCGATTAATGAATACACGAATCAATATTATGGCAGCGTGCTCCACATATGATTCGAAAATTGTTTCACCGTTAATACTTATATATGTATATATATATGTATATCCGTTGACCAGCTCTTATCTATCTGAACTATCTACATCAAGTAGCAGTGTTACTATTATTCTTAACATCGTTGACATTACCATTACTTTTTACTAAAAGCTGAACCCCTCACAACATCGAGAATTACTCGAGTCGTGTCTGCCTTATAAATTATTCTTTAAGGATCATCATCTGAATTTGTTTCGCAAGTAACTGTTTCCGTCCGACATCGAATGCCTCGGCACAAGCCTTTATCCGGAAGGGGATTACAAATGTTCGCCGCCACCGAACAGCGGCAGGAAGCTTGTGACGATAGGGGACGGTACGGGAGGAGCATCCGGCCCGTGATATTGACTCCGTCAGGGAATATTAAGGTATGATCATTAAGGTTGCCTTCCCTATCTTTCTTCCTTCCTTCCTTCCTTGCTGACGCCCAGGATGGGCAACAAACGGCCGACCGGGCCTTTTGTCTTCCGTAATTTTTCTGTCGGAGGTGACCGAAAGTAGTAGTAGTAACAATAACAGTAAAAATAGTAGGCAGTAAGCCAGATCCTTTATGGGTTGTACGTTGTTGACGGTTCGGCCACTAGCTGATAGCACAATTCACCAAAAAAGAAATATGGAAAATGCTTTGGCCGTTTCACATCTTGCTCAGTTTACTAGTCGTATAAGCAGACTTTTTAGCGTGCAGTAGAATAATATATACCGAAAGACGTGAGTACAAGCTCCGTCTCGCGTACCCGAGTAGATGCAGGTACACAGTGGTACAGGAATGCGAATAGTAAAGATAAAACTATTGGATTTCATTTTACTTTAATTAGGTAATTCTGGTAAAGGGATATAAGGAATCTGGATTCTATTTTTGTCTTTTTACATGTGGGTCGTCAGGCGACCACTCATCGCCACGGAACAACACCACTTCAGTTATTAAGCTCTGTACTCTGCCTTGTGCCCCTACTCCCTGGCCTGCCCCTATCAACTTTCCAAGGATACTACATGATCAGTTATTCATTCGTTCACCATGATTACATTCATTGATCGTTTCTCCTTCCGCAGTTCTCATTCATTCAATAGCTACCATCATCTGTAATATATACCGTTGTTATCATGAAGGATCATCATAGCTAGCTACATGATCAGTCCACTCAGCGCCTTACCTTTCCTTGACTTGTCCTCAGCCGCGCATGTCCTCCAGTCTCAGAAACTCAATTGTCAATATCAGCTAGCCATATAACTCCACTAATAATGAGCTTATTACTATTATTCACAAGGTTTTTTATCTACTTCACCAGTTTCTCATCATATTTTTCTCATTGTTTTCCGTTAACCTTGAAATCTTTCATTTCTCTGATTACTTACTTATTTACTATATATATATATAGTATATATAATGCTCCGCTTTCAGCCATGCCAAACACTTCTGCACTTCGGGAAGGTGTACCACAGACGCAGAACATATTGTACATAGAGACTGGGCATCTGGACAACGGATCATTACTAATTAATATATATATATATGAGATTGATCAGAGAAAGAGCGGGTTGTTTTTCGTCGTTAGTGTTTTACTTGACCTTGTCTTGTCTCAGCTGAGCTTTTTCGCTCTATCGCCGCCGTTGGTACAATCAGTCAATCAGTGTATGAATGTGTCGGCCTTCATTCTTCGTTAGCTCGCTTTGACGCTGACAAAAGCTGCTTTACAACAAACTCGATCGTTTCTCCGATTCTATACAAGTCACCTCCATGTTGTTTTGCATTGAGTTCGTTGTTTTTTTTCCTACTGCTGCTGTTAGTTCTGCGATACGTTCTGTCGTATCTCTGTTGCTGCCTCCTTCGCTGTTGCAAAAGTACGCTTTCACCGCTCAGAAGATGTCACCATCCGCGCCATCACGACGCAAAATGTCCATCACACATCGGGCGCCGCCCTGAACTGAGCACCGTGTCAGGCAGTAGGGGTAGATACATTTTGCCTTGTATCGACAGCTAATCGGCATCAACAACTGCAAGCGAATCCCGAGCGCATTTCATGACAAATAACGTATCAATTATCCATCGATTAGAATACGGAAACGTTAAGGGGCGCGTATGGCAAGATATAGCTGTTTATTAGGCTTAATGCCCTTTCCTGTGGTGAGAATTCGGTTCTTGAGAACGTATTTCAAAAGCAAAGGCTCAATATTTGGGGGGTAATGTGCTAACTACTATGGCACGACAATGCTAAGCAACGATGTTAGGCAAACATGCAGATGCTCTGTTTGTAGTTGAAACAACGATAAGTTGAAAGAATGGCTCATGTGTACATGAGGAAAGATGGCGCCATATGAACAATCTAACTACAGCCTAACTTACCGTCCCAGCTCTGTGCAGCGTGCAAACAGAGATGAGTAGAAAGATGAATGAATAACGGATGTTAATTATCGTACACTTATTTTTGCGATGCTCAAATTATTTACTATAGGCATATATTTTGCAAAGCAATTAGCGATCGTGACGTCTCACCATTTACTAGTAATCTAATAGGAGGTGAGTTACATACATCGTGTCCCAGTGTTTTTAGCGGATTAGTCTCCGCCCAGAGAGCAAGCCGCCATTTTGCGCCCTATTGAACGTTAAAATACTGCCGCTTATACTATCCATAATAACAGTCACAGAACGAACGGAATAGGAACTGATCACGCGTTAACGCATTACAGAAACCTCGTACAACGTTTGTGCTGAGGAATGTGCTCTTTATTATATCGCTTTGAGGCCGACTATACGATTATGCTAGCAAATCAATTCCGTGGCAGGCCACGCAAGTAGGAGCGCCTCGAATTGAGGTAAATATCAAAGGTCTTTCTTTGAGAAAGCAAAATTTCCAAGCTGGCTAGTTCAATTGGGCATTGTGGTCAAAATCCTCGCTTCGCAGATTAAATATGTGATGTTGATTGCATCTAAATCTTCGTTGTCGTCCGTACGGGTAATAATTAATTTTAACTGGTTACAATCATGTCCACACAACAACTCGATTTGCCGAATGGCTGATCTCTAAAAACGGAGGTCCTTCCCGTCCCTCCGTTCCTGTAATGCAACACTCTTAATTATTTAATTTGGAATTGTACGAAGGGGAAATTTTGCGCCAGTAAAATGAAACTCAACACGGTCTGTTCAATCCATTGAAGACATTAGGACACTCTGTGGTCACTATAAAACGACAGTCTTCATCGGGCAATCCAAGCTTAGAAGAAGATATTAGGTCTGTCATTTTTGTAAACGATGGTCAGGTGATACCGACAAAGGGAGTTGTGAGCTAACTGTGAATTGCGGTGGCATCAGCGGCAAGAGATTTGTGATGTATGTAGACGCCTCGTAAAATGAAATAACGCCACATAGAGTGGATTCATTATACAAGTCTTTGCTGTTTGACACTCACGATATTGTCCGCGTCCTGGGCGAAAGACGTCTCGTACTGGGCATCGATGGGAAGTGCCTCAAGGTTGTGATTGTCCCTATTAGAAGACAGCGAACACCGCGACTGCATTGCGTCACGCCACACACGTCGTGTACGCCACCACGAAATGAGGCAGAGAATTGGAATGAGCACTACGCCCACCGAAAGGGGTAAAAGAATCACCTTCAAGTCCACTATTATCGACAGCCGTCCAGAAAGACAGAAGCAACGAACAAAGAGGATACGAGAATCACGAAATAGGTTAGGAATGATCGAATGAAAACATGAACGGCCAGAAGCACACCCGTATGTTGTACCTTTTTAGGCCAGTACTCGTATTTTCCATGATGAGTCTTGTGAATGAATTGGGTTCATACTATTGATGTTAATGATCTACATTAGTCTCAGCGAAAAGCTTACTTCCTTCGTCGCGGTGCAATACGGGCTGATCGAATAGATACGAAGCAAGGTACTGGCAACGATTTCCCGTGTAGTTAGCCTGACATAAACACTGCGGGCCGACTCCAATGACCAGTGGCGCGTCGTTCGGGGGCAGTTCGCATGAGCCCCCGTTCAGACAGAACCCCTGACATGAGATCACCGGATCAAAGACGCTCATCCGTTCACGGCTGCCACCATCGAGCGCCGCACTGTTGTTGTAACCCTGTAGAATGCTCTTATCGTAAAGCTGTAGGTGCGACACATTGGGGCCCAGATAGCGACTCCAGGTCGAAGGTGCTGGCCTCCTGCCCCGCTGAAGAAACATCAGTGCTCCTCCAGAGTACGTGCTGTCTATCCAAAACACCACCGAGTGATAAACAGCTACTGCCACAGGCGAGAGATGCCAGTTGCCCGACCTTTGCACGACGATGGCACGATGTCGACCCTCGAGATCCGAGCGTCCAATCATGCCGGTCCCGCTATCACACCAATACACATGGTCGCCGTCGACCGTAATGCCATTTAGTCGGATAAGATCGTCGTTGACTATGGTGCGCCGACTATTCCGCGGGTCCTTCAGATTGATGCGTTCGATCTTGGGCGAATATCCTCCCGACTCGCTCCAGAAGAGCAATTTTTTAACCGGGTGCACCGCTAGCCCCATAATGCGGTAGGTACCATTTATTACCACCTGGAGGTCAGTACCATCTAAACGTGTCGAATATACAGCGCAACAGGTGGCGAAGTACAATCGACCCGAGAGCAGGTCCGAGGCGATTGCGCTCACTTTCCCGACTACAGGAGGTTGCATTCGTAGAAGCTGCTTCAGGCCAAGCCCATCTAAACGTGATTCATGAAGATCGGGCCCTATCGTCACGTACACACGTCCATTGTTTGCAACATGAAGGGCATCTGAAACGATGTTATGAGAAAAGATTACGTTTTTACTCACGTTCTTAATAAATACCGACACTCTAAAACAGCTAGAAATAGCACTGAATAATTAGCTAAATTAAACGAGGTAGTGTGTAAGCTTTTCGAGGACACTTCCGGCGAGAACTCCGACAGAACCACTACTCACCAATATTGCGATCTCCGAGCTCGGAATGGATGACCATGGGGGCGAGTGAGAGGTTCTGCGTCAGTGGAAAGGCGGCTACCTTGTGCGACTGAAGAAAGTAGAGTAGGGTATCCGAACCTCCCGACGGGACGCAGCGGCCTCCCAGACACACGCCATGGGGACATCCGCAATCTTCAAAACGACCTCCTCGGTAAGAACCATGACTTTCCTTAGAAAAGTAGTCCATCGCCACAACTTGATCGGTAACGTTTCGTGGTTCCGTCTCCCCAGCGAGGTAGATTAAAAATTTCTTCGCGTAAGAAAGTGATTTCCGGTCATTTGTTACAGCAATCTCCACACTTTCACGGTCATCACCCAGGGTGGTACGTTGGCTGAGATGGAAACTGCTGTTGGCCACATATAGAACATTCTGTTTAACGCAGAATATGGTAGAGTTGGCTACCTCAGTAAAGCACACCTGATCTTCCATTATTTTCAGCCCTGAAGTCGGTGCAAAAATGAACAAGTTCGAAGATACCGTTAGTATGTATAATTTTTCCGCTTATTCTCATTGTTGAATGTCCCGGCAGCAAATGCAAGCTTTCACCAGACCAAAGTTTTAGGCAAAATATGTTTTGTATAAGTGAAAAAAACTAAATAGGAAGCGTCACCAATATCATGTCGACGATTACTTACTCTTTGGCTGATGGTTCCTGTCAATGTACATAGTATGCAATAGCATTTCATTCGAGCCATTGATTAGCGATTGCTTAACAGAGATACGATCAGATTCGTACGCGTAGCGGTCTCGCTCAAGCCAAAATAACTTGTCGCGGTCCACAGCTAATGATACAACCTGGCCACCGCGGTCGCCAGCGACATTCGCGCAGTTCTTCGTGAGCATGTTGCAGGCTACCACCTCGTGGCGTGGAATGCCGTTCACAGGTACGGTGAAGCCGACGAAGATCGTATGACGTTCAATGGCTAGCGCCTTTATGCGGTATCGCGCGCCAAAATTGAGAAAACGTTCCGTCGACTCGTTTTTGTAGTAGTGCACCATTACGACGCTGTTTTCGAACCAGTACAGCCTGTCATGGCTAGCGTCGAATGCGACTTGAGTGTTAGACATGTTCAGACGAAGCGGGGGAAACACAAATTTGTGCAGTTTTGTATCGGATAGATAGACGCGCAATCCCGGTTGTTTCGTGTCCGTCGCATAGAGGAAGGTGTCCTTGTGTGGCACGCACGACCTTGCGTTCGACGGGTCGTGGATCGTGCCGTACGGACAGAGGCACGAAGTCGAACAAAGGTGACTGCAGTCGCCATTGTTCTTGCGGCATGGACCTTTTACCACATCTGCGATGGTCGTTAATGACAATCACCGATAAAAAACAACAACGTATTCATTAAGGTTTTGCGTAGCTGATACATGGAAAAAGGCTATAGAATACAATTCGTGACGTTTCTTAGGTAACGATACTCTGATAGACCAATAGGACTTGATCAATCTCGCTAGTCTGTCAGGGTGTCAGAAAGAACCAATTCAAAGTTCCAGTCAGCGATGTGGCTAGGGGCAGATCGTTTTGCGAAGCCATCGGCCGAAACTTGTCTAATTAGCCTGACCAAAAGAATGATTGCATATGGCGTGCCATTTCGATGCTCATTTTATTGGGAAATTACTTCGTCCCGATGCTTCGCTAAAAGATAATTTCTTGTACTGTGATCAAGGTCTCTTACCGGATTTCGCTCGCGAGTTTATTCTAAGCGATAATAGTCCCTACCCTACATTCGTTCGCAGCGACGTATATTCATATGAGATTTGTGTACAATGACCCACGATTATTCGGGTCTTTTTACATGCAACACTTAATCTCCCAAATTTCTCCGGAACTAGAGCGATATCCGCCGTGTAGTCATTTGTCATACTAGGGCAACATTGAACTAATAAATTATATATTGGTTATTATATATACATAGATTAGAGTTAATTCTATTCTAGTTAAAATCATACCAACCGTTAGGCTTCTTGCTACGATGGACGACCGTAGCATGAAATATACGATCCGTTCGTGATGAGAAGATTTCTTTTGAGCCTCGAAACGCTTTGTACGTGCTGAAATCCGTCCAAATTATAACCTGCTCGTCCGTAGGTCTATGCAGGATATCAATTGAAAATGGGCGTACAGCGAGAGCTTCGATCGATAAAACCATGTTGTGCTCTGTTCCCTCGTAGGTCGTCGAATGAATCTACAAAAATAGAAAAGTATGAAAAAACGTATATATTTGTATAAAGTGTATGTATTGTTATAACAATGGGACTCACAGTACGACCACGACCGTAACTGTACATATCATCAAAATTACAACAATTCAACTTATCTGCCTTATCGCTTTTTTTAAGCTTACCGCTTTCGAGAGCGCGTCGATCCAGAATACGCGCTTAGTGGCGAGATCTAATGTAAGACCATTGGGGAGCCCGCCTTTGTAGTCTGTGACGTTGACAATTACGCGTCGCTTTTTGCCGGCGAGCGAGTTGCGTTCAATGCACGGTTGTCTGTCATTCCAATCTGACCAGAACAGTACGTCTGAACGCGGGTCAAGAGCTAGTCCACGAGGCTTACCAAGGGGTCCAAGCAGCGAAGCTCGCATCGAGCCATCTAGTCGGGCCACTTCAATGTGGCGCTTTTTCGATTCAACCCAATAGAGATTGTCATTGATCCAGTCGATCCGCAACCCCTCAACTGATTCGAGGTAACTATTTACAAGCACTTGCGCATCGGTGATGACCGGTTGGTTAGCATGCATACCCAACCGGCCCTTCTGTATGCTACGCAGCGTACTCCAGTACACCCAGAGGCCATCGTCTTTGTAGACCGTATCGACAGTAATTACCGAGCCCGATGTCGAATTAAAGATCTTCGCGACCTCTGGATCACCAAGTTTCCCTCCGCCGCCAATCGGATATCGTACGGTCTCGCCATCAGTCGACAAACGAATCAGACCCGATGAAACGCCCGCGATTAGAAATGCTGAAAGATTGCAAGACAGCAGAATCCCGGGGGAAAATAGAAGGTGAAAGTCAAGAACGATAAAGTTGTTTAACGCCTGCCTTCCATTTTCGCTGATACAAAATATCATTGATTACAGGCTAAGCAGTTATGGGCATATATTCATATATATAGATTTTATTGAGGCTGAGCTGTGCTGCGGATTATTATTAAGCTTTTCATTTGCTTTGAACTCAGATTTATAACGCAGGATTTCAACAATGAAAGTATACCCAATCTGATTCGACAGTCGTGTAGGCAATATAATGCCGCTTGTCTCACAAGAAAGGAACGACACGCTATGACCAACAAGTTTACATTAATCAGCATATTAATCGATCTAATTATCTATAGTTTTTATAACTCTTCTCCAACAACATCTATATATATAGCAGTGAAAGTTCGTGTTGGTCAACTGGTCCTTTGTGCGATCGTCATCGCGTCTTTAGTGACGTCGTAACGGGTATCCCTCATACCGTTAATACAGCTTCCCTGCAGTCTCTATTACGTTTAGGGACGTTACTGTTGTTGACACTTTTTCCATTCGAGCGTAGTCTCTCGTTGAACCTGCTCCGGATTCGCAACCCCAGCCAAAAACGTCAGCGAAGAATACAAGCCGGCACCCTTTCCTCGTTGTTTCCTCTATTGTATCCTAGCTAAAATCCTAAATAACGACGACCCATTTGCCGGCTCCGCGCAAAAACATCAAACTATCAGTTGACGGTCGGCTTTTTGACATTTGTCGAGCGTTAAACCGACGCATTTGCCCTTTCCTACCCATCTACACTTAGCTGTTAAAAGGTTCACATGAGTCTATCTAAGGGAATCACGTCGCGTTGTTAACTCGCACGCCGCACGGGCCGCCGATAGCCCATCTTGAAAATGTCCACAAGAGTTTTACCGTGCCTCTATCGCAGTCTTTACACTCCACCATCTGGCATGGCTAACCAATGTGCGGTCACGACCACTAACAGCGCCAAACAGGTTGGTCACGTAGGCACTTCGCGACCTGGCACAGGTCCGCGAACTAGGCGAATACAGGGCGCATTTAGCAAAATGATTGCATACTTATAATAGTATGGCAGCTAAAGAGAACTGAAGGAAAATACAAACAAAGAAATGACTGATATCTCTGGACATATTCTCCCCCCACTCAATGACTCCGTTGCCCTTTCATAGCGTTTTCGCATATAGGCACCATCATCATCCATCAGTCATAGACTGTATTATCACAATGTAGATAATGGCTGACGGTCGTCATGGTAAAGTAGTCTTCTTAATTTCCTTCAATACAGGAGACTGCGGATCCGTCTTATATATTGTACTACAACATTACCGAATGACAGAGAGCCATTGCTCACGTCAACCAATATGTCAACCAAGCTGTCGCGGCAACAGTTGTAAAACTTTAACCAAAGCTAAAAAGGTGCATGAGGCTGCCGCCGTTCCAATAGATGATGCATATGCTGGCCTAGGTTATAAGAGAGGTCTTAGAATAGTTGGAAAAAGCTTATGGCCTTATTATAAAAGTGAATTATGTTTTCAGTATCGTTTCTTAGCAGCAGCAGCAACACACAGTAATAATGCTCTTACAGACTCAGGCTTGATTGATAGTTATAACAGCGGCAATAGAAGAAATGCGTAAAAATATCATAACCATAGCTTCCTCGCTTACCAATTTCGACCTTGAGCAAGCAAAACTGAACAGTATGGTCAAAGCGGAGCTTCTGTACCATTAACAATAAACTTTTCCAAAATAAAAGTGCCCCACATAACAATGTAAAAACCTAACTCCGAGAAAGTACTTAGTGCGGCGCGTACTTGTAAGCTTGCGAAGCTTACGTTTGAAATAGATGTGCGTGACACTGACACGAAAGATTTGCTCATGAACGTCGTTGCTTTTTAAACTGGTCAGGTGAATTTGGCATACGGCTGTAGCAATTAAAACAGGCCATGTCTCACTCATCGCTTTAGTTTCCCGGGCTTTTTCTTCGATAGCATTGGGCGAGCCACGTAACGTTAGAATTTAGTCAATTCGTTAGCCCTCTTACGATTTGTTTTCGTAAATCGATCAACCGATCGATTGGTTGATCTAAAAGTTCAAAATTTTTTGACACGGTGTAACCGGAAGCCACTGTAAGTAGCACAGAAATTTAACTCAGCTGTCGGCCTTTTCCTGTCAGTAGCTCAGGCCACGAAGAGAGTTTCAACGATCACGGTGGCTTTCTCCCTTTATGCGCGACGGTTTTCCTAGTTCCTCATTCCCTGGCCCCGCCATCTCTAGCGTGGCTCGATTGCTACTGCTCCTTGTCGATCAGACTTTTCACTTTTTACATCAACACCCATAGTCTCCGGACCCTTCTGCAGTGGCGGCTGCAACGACGGTTGCCCTTAGTTGTTTTCCTTTTCTCTACATCTCACCCCAACCATTGACTTGCACTCCCTGTCTAACCAAGGGCACAGCCCTACGCGCTCAAGCGCCTCCCTGTCCGCCTCCACAAGTTTTGCACTCGCACCAATACCCGAGCACACAGCAATGTCAGTCTAAGCCAGTCGGAGACGAAAATGGCTTACCCCCGCTCCCCCCAACGTGGGGTGAGTGCATCTAATTCGGCTGACCCCATGAAGTAATCACAATCGGGAGCGCACTCTCAGCAGCTTCTATTACCAGCAGCGGGGTAATAGTCTGACACTGCAGCATGCTCCGTCGCTTGCTGCTGGCTTTGCCATTTATCCCATCTAGCCTTGTTATCCGCCAACCATCTGTTCGCCCGCCCGTCCAGTGGCTATGACCAATTCCTTTCCTAGAACGTTCCGATCTGATCCCTGAAAACGGGCGCGCCTAGCCTGCTCTTTTTTCCTTGGCATCTTCACAAACAAAAAATAAAAAGAAAAAAAAAAGAGACCACTTCTTATACCGGCTACTTCTACACATTGCGCGTAGATCTATGGTGTGTGTGTATTTGTGAAGATGCGCCTATTTATAGGAAGACTTTCTGCAACCCTCTTCTTAGACGGATCACATCCACTACTCCATATAAACCTAATGCCTTTAGACGACAATATACAGAATTGACGGCGTCAGTGTTCGTTCAAAATACTGGTAGACGGTATTGGGCCATTGAAAACCATGGATCAGTTTACAAACTCGCTGCCAGCACATACGCCCGCTTGCTTTTTAAAAAAAACAGCTATAAGGATAGCTATGCGCACCGAGACCCTGCGGGAATGTTACAGGAATAGAGAAGGAAGTTTAGGAGGAAGACAGTTTCAAACTTTAGATTGGTCCCGCTCACTATTATTGTCATGGTGACATCGTCTCATACAACATATGGGAAAACAAGCATACACAGGCAGACGATTATTTCTCGAGATGGACGTGCGAAGGCGGACCGGGGTTTCCCCGAACCAAATATGAATGCCGTGTTGCCCGATAGACAAAAACATGAGAAGAAGTTCCGCACACACAAGCAGAAAGATTCCTAACGTCTTGTACGATTCTGACTGCTTGCAGGCCTGGATCACTAGCCTGTTGGCCGTTCTCTGATCTAGGACCAAGTTTTAACGAGACGTACGAAAGACAGCTCAGCCTCTTCGGCTGGTTGGGATTTCGGCAGAACCTAGCGGTTAAGACCTCTCGGGTAAAATGAGATAGAAAGAAAGAGAGACCACACACAGCCCAGTTCCTGCTCCAGACAACCGAAGAAACCGCGTCCACATGTCGTGCTGCTTGTAAGGCTACCTTTAACGGAATATTACCCTGTCGTCCTCCATGTACGTCATTATAAGCAAGGAAATTATATATCAGGAAGCCCGCAGATAGATCATTATATATTCTACGTCAATTAATACATGTGCGCACGGAGCAGACGGTGAGACCGTTCTATCTTTTTAGCGCGGCGCCAGCTTAGCAGTGCTCATGGCCGGTTAAGAGCTTAGATAGCCTTTTTGCATCGCAAATGGCCATCATATGTCTGATATTTCGCTTCAGATACGTGCCAAAAACAAGACGATGGTGCATAGACGGAATATTCTAGATTAGATACTCCGAAACCTCAAATTTGCTACAAAAGAGATCGAGTGAAAAACACTGAAAACGTTTTCCCACCAGATTTACCTGGTAACTTACGTTAGGTTTAGGCTAAGTTTTCGATTGTTACTAAATTATACACACACATTGCACATTGTACTCGAATAAACTTGTTCGCTCCGGCGTATCTTGCACGTGGGTGAGGTAATGTTGGCTGTCATAGTTATAAAAGCATACACTTGTTAGGGTATGTCTTTTTTGTCGTTATTTAGTATTATATAACCAGGGAGAGAAGAGAGACCGCTGGCGACATTGATTCTTGAATAAGTCGAAAGCTTTACCATGGACGAACTTGTCTTTCTATCTCACTGATCAGCTTTATTACGCTCGTGCAACTCATTTATGGAGTAACACGGCATGTCTTGCTCTATACAGGAAGAAAACTCTTACAGCGTAAAGCTTCTTGTTAACCTATATATCGCTCCGAGTTTTACGCCAGTTTGAATGCTGCTCAATTGTTGACTGTCGGGATTGCCCTAGAAGGCAACATGCTCGGTATGATCTGCTTATATATATAAAAATTTACCGTAGGTAAGGCGTTTGAACCCGGAAGTTTCGCCTATCCGAGTGTAAGGCGTGTCATCTTCTCGTCGTTTGCATGATTCATTCGAGTAACAACGAAACATCCGCAACGATGTTTAATCGACATTTCAACCTGGTGCATGGAACAGGAAAATAATGCAACGTTCAAATCGTGTTTTTAGGATAACTACGTTTTTGACGCCGCCAAGGCTCACCTTATTTTTTTTCGCTTGTTGAAGTTAGTCGGGGTGAATGCATTACGTTCTCGCGATAGCTTAAGCACGCTGTGGTTCAGGTTCGAATCCGGGCATGCACGCACGGTTCGTTTCGTGCTGGGAACCAACCTTCTAATAGAATGCCTAACGTTGAT